ACGCTAATAATTCTATGAAACGCCACGGCGATCGGCCCCTTGTCCATTGCTAACTGCGTAGTCACAGACACATGGTGAGACCCCACTCCTAGTCGAAAATGTCCACAAACGACATGCGGTGAGGATAAGCGAAAAAGTTCACTCCTGTTCCTGTTCTTTCGTTGCTTCCGATGACAAACTCCTCTACAAGTTCTAATACTACGACGACTGTTATGACAGTCACCACAACTGACCTGTTTTGTGCCTTTCAACAAGAACCTGAGACTTATAACTCTGCCTTTATTCACAATCTCGAGAGCGTTTTATCCTTCAGCGCTATGACGCGTTAGGGCTATGATTACTCCCAATCAAGGTACTCAACCTGCAAAACAAAAGTAGCCCTAATCGGGCGGTGCCGAGACTTACATGGGTCTCATGGTTGCCTCACCAGGGACCGGCGGTTCGATAATCGGGTTGCTTTTGTCCGAATAGGAAGTCAAAGTTGATATGGTAGGCTGGATGTGCGAAGAACGAAAAGACCAAATGGAGACAAATCAGACCAAGAGACGATTACTTAGAGGCATTAATCAATTACATTGGTAAATGCACATCCGTCCCCTGAAGTGTACATATTGAAGACGTGAAATTATATCAAACGGCTAATTTTAGTTAGTCTCCCAAAAGGCCGTAAAATTGCACAACACGGGTAGAATGCAAAATTAACAGTCCTTGGGGCACGGGCGATCATTCTATTTCCTGATTAAAATAATTTAAAGTATCTAGCTACTAAAAAGAATATAGTAGCGTGTGTATTTAGAAACGCAAAACGCTCGTCGTTATGGGGCAAGGCGCTGTTTTATCCGTCATCGCTCGGCGGACAGACGAGTATGCATCTATGTGAAGACAGTAGGTTTTTTTTAAATATCACCCAGTAGCCAGCAGCTTTGTTGTAATGATACGTTTGTCCATGGCAAGGCATGAACCCAAACTCTTTTGACATGCTTTGAAATTATCACGGTGAACTTAAGTTCACGGTTTGCAAGACTGCCAACCGACGGGATAACTCAGCCCTCTTCTAAGGCCTGTGTGGCACACCCACTCTGAGCCGACAGTTTCTTGTTTCCCTGAAGACCCGGCACACCGTGCATGGGTCGGGTGCGTGTGGCACGCGCAGACGAGCTGTTTGGCTTTGTCAACTACTGCGTCCGATTCCGCCTCTAACCTTGACTCAGTATTGACACCGGGCCCAGGAGAGTGGATGAGAGGGTACGATGGACGGCCACGGTTCAAAAAAGCAAGGAGGGGGAAAAGGTCATGCTTTTGGAGGTTTATAAGGACCAATATACAGACCAAACCTCCGTGTCTAAAAGATGCGTTCGAAAAAGGACAGGTGAAAACTTGGTCGCATCTTAGGATGGGATAATGTACATTCCAATGCCTTGCTAGCTGAAATAATATAATTTCGTGTCCTCCCAAATTCATCCTCATGATATTAGCAAGGTGACCATGTGAGCACAGCTGAGGATTTCTCCTTAAAAGCTACTAGTATGCGCGGAATTCCAGTCTTATAAGGTGAAGTACTAAACAACTGAAGCACGGGTCGCTTACAAACCTCACAAAACCCGTCTTACACCAACAATCACAATCTGCCTGCGCCTGAAGGTCGGTAGAGGAAGATTTCGGATCATTTACCAACATCCGCTTACGGACAATGAACGCTAAATCAAGCATTAAACGTGTAAAATGCATGTTTGGGGCGGGGGGGACAACTTTGTGGGACAGTGTGTGCTTCTTGCAACTGAGGAACGTAGAGAATTTCGGAAAAAACATCTGACTTACTTGAAAGCATTTATTAAGCATGCCTTACGCCACCCTTTAAACTGGAACGAGTGATTTTATAACGACACAACGAAGAGAGCAATGGACCAACTTCGAGTAGTGCCCTTATTTCTTAGAAGACGAATTCGCGTTGTCTGCTGATAGAATGACCATTGTAAAGGACGGTGCTAAAGCTGCGCATGGTCTTTTTTCTCAACACCGAGTGGGTGTGAAAATGCTGAGCCATCCTTCAACCTGTTTGCCATATTTTCCGCTATGACTCAGCAATTCTCTGAGGAATCGAAGTCCAAAAAGCTAGACAATAGAAGTTGATTTAAGGCTTAAGGTTATATAAAATGACTGGTTGTGACAGACAGTTGGGTAGGGATATTTTGCGTCTCGTGATTCATATTTCCATCGTGGCACGATGTCCCTTACGTATTGCCTTACTACCGATATATTAAGGCGAAAGAATCTGGGTCTTATACTGCTTATGAAAAGCTGACGGTGAGCGCGGTGTCCCTCCTATGCGAAGGTTGTGAGGATGGGCTAATAGGTAGGTACACTTTGCGTCAGAAGTCGATATACATCTGGTTTTTTAAAGGAACTTACTTGGAGGTATGTACAGTTACCTGTATATGCTTCAATACCTTAAGTTATGGTAGCGTGGTTTTTATGTCTCAGAAACTCATAGGAAGACCTCTTAAGACATTATAGGACCAGAGCACCATTCTATGTCATGATTTTTTTGGGTTCGAGCACCTCCTGACTGTAGAAAGGGTCCGGAGAAATTGAATTCTTCAGACCGCAAATGTCATACTTCTTGGTCATGTTTCCCATGATATTAACAAATAGGCCGTCAAACCTGCAAGATATCAACTAGATGCAGGGAAGACGTACACTACAGTAAAAAAAAAACAATCAAAATGGCATTTTTGCGGAAGCTTGCGGGGGAAACAATTACATTCCCTGATGGTTTCAGACTAGCAGACAGGGTAGAAAAAATTCGGCTTCCATACCATAATAGGCAAAGCTGGCCGCGTTATAGTTTCTTCCCCGAAATCGTTTCCAGTATGGACTTGATTGCCAGGGAGTATGCGCTCATGCGGAATATTCTCTTTATTGCACATGGAATCACCGGCAGAACGATGCTCCACCGCGCCGACACCAGCTGCTCGCTTTTCTTCTTCAGAGACAGCTAAAAGAAGGTTCGGAACGATGAGACCGGTCGTCCTTCGTGCATCTTAAAGACACATTACTGAATGCGCCGTACTACGGAGCATGCACACTCGTTTAAGAATTATCCTAATCAGCGTATTAACTGCAATAGAAAGATGATCACTATGGCCATGGCATAATGCGATCAATTGCATGAGCTGAATCTTTAGCAGAATGAAAGACGCAGCCTATACCGACTCAACTGGAGTTTGCGTTCAGAAACTCCAGATTTGGTGCTCGACAGTAATTATGGGAACCTGGTAAGAATGGAAGGCACAAAGCGTCAGCCATGGGTTTGTGGCAGCATCCGATTAAAGTCAGATTGACAAGAGGATACAGGGGAGAAAAACCACCGAATGACATTGATTTGCGCCGAGGCAAAGAAAAACCGAAAGCAGGCCTGGCGCATCGATCTTGCGCAGCTCCCTAAAGGAATGCGACACAGGGAATGAGAGCTAAGTGCAGTGATACCGGCAAAAATATGGTTACAACTACAAAATTGATCAGATAAACATCTGTTTATGTTGCCAGTCCAAGCAAGCCCTAAGGCTCAGCAGGCCGACGAGATTATTAGACTAAATGAGTGTCACATTGGTCTGCGACATGTGCTAGCCCGTCAGCGCTAACTCCCTAATTATTGTTCCACGTAATGTGTTGAGGTTCACAGTATGCTAGAGTCAAAACAGCACAGTCAGCATGGCTCGAAAATGCCACTTATATATAGAAAAAGTGCGGAAGACTGAGACCGATAGGATCCGGATTCAGCGCTTGACTACCTCACTGCAAACAGCCAAAAACGTTTTCTAATCATTCCGACGAGTTCAGAGTTACAGCTTGGAAGGTCCCTAACCGAGGACACAACAAGGTCATAGCAGGAAGTTGAGAGCAGACTGTTATGAAATTCTCAACGTGAGGCTGACGAAACCGCCTTTGTGTAAGATCCAGGACTGCTTCATTGAAATCTAGTACGTGTGGAGATATAAAAAAAACAGCGCGTGTACCAAGCACGAACATGGCTTTGGCCTCGACAGCCACTGCACTGGCGCCCATCTCCAATTAACTACCTTACTAAAGCGCTTGTGTTTGTGTACGCAAGAATCCATAACATCAAATAAAATAATGCCAGCCAAGGTACCAGATCCAACATACACAGCAAATGTTCAATGCACACC